CAGGTCAATGACTTAGACCATTTGTTAGTCTTTTACTATGTTTCTTTTCTCCCCTACATGTAGGAAAGTTACCCCTGTCTTGTGCGTGGAAGTGGGATAACTATGTACAAATAGATGAAGATAGCTAATCCCATGAAATTCTACAGAACTCTATATCAATGTTTAAAGAAACAATATTTTATAGTTATGTACATTTATAAAATATTAGAGATGATTCTGTACTAATACATTTTAGAGTTTACATGACATAGGTAAATGTAAATGTTATTAAAAGTGTAGAGAATTAAAATAGAAATTCATGGGGAGAATCTGAATAGGTCTACAGAAGTACTAAATGAGTTTTATCCTAAGAAAGGAAATATTGGCTTACACTAGAAGATATTGTGTCACTGATACTTAAGCATCTATGTTAATAAATGAAAAATTATAGTAAAAATATCTATGGATATTAAAAAACTTAATCAGATATAGAACACACTGTCACTGTCCTCGCGTTGTTCATTGATTTGTTCAAGCGGGCCCAGTAACGTCTCCATTGTTAGACTTCTTGTTACTGTGTTTGGCATATTGAATACTCTCGGTAGCTTGCCAGTCTCTCCAAGAGGGGCAGAGGAATCCAACCTGGCTCGGCCAGGCTGGCTGCGTGCAAGGCAAACACCCTACCGCTGTGCCATCAGGGGGGCTGGAACGATAGCACAGCGGTAGGGTGTTTACCTTACAGATATAGAACATTCTATATAAATGAGACACGAATTCCTTATTGAAAATATATAAAATCCCTTAGCTAGCTATATATGTAGATTAATCGAGTAGAGGACAACCATACACACCATAAGTGAGTGCCATACTGAGTGCCACATGCTTGGAAGTTTGTCCTGTCCTTTACAGAATCTCCTTTAATGCTTCTTGAAAATTGGTTTCAAGGTTATGAATTCCCTAAGCTCTTGCCTGGCCATGAAGCTTTGTATCATTCCTTTAGATCCGAATGACAATCTAGCTGCATAGAGAATTCTTGGCTAGGTGTTCATTTAGTTGAGTTTTTCTACTGTATCCCTCCAATCTCTTTTAGCTTCTAGAGTCTAATTTGATAGATCAGCTGTGAATCTTGTGGGATTTCCTTTGTATCTAAGTTCCTTTTTTGATCTTTCTCCTCTCAATATTCCATCTCTTGCCTTTGGTCTTTGTCATTCGAAGTACAATACATGTTGACGTTTTCTTATCTGAGTCTATTTCTGTTGGGACTTTTCAAGCCTTTTGTATTTGGTTACCTATATTACAGAATTCTGGAAAGATCTTTACTGTGATTTCTTCATGAAATTTAGCTCCCTGGCTCTCAGAGACTCAGATCGTTCTTCTATATTGTTCCTCTTGAACTCATCCTAGAGTTCTGTGGTGTAATGTTCATTTCTTTTCAGGCTTAATTCCATCTTCTGTTGTTTTCAAAACAGCAGTTGAGGGAGGTGCTGGAGTGATAGCACAATGGGTAGGGTGTTTGCCTTGCACACTGTTGACCTGGGTTTGATTCCCAGCATCCCAAATGATCCTGAGCACCATCAGGAGTAACCCCTGTGCATCACTGGGTGTGACCCAAAAAGCAAAAAAAAGGAAAAAAAGCAGTTGAGCAGTTTTTGAGACAACACAGGTCAGATAGGAAGAGAGTCCTGGAAAACCCATCTATCCAGTTTGTCATCAGAGTCTGCCTAATAAGATATTTAGAAGTGGAAGGAATCTTGTACCATAACTACTCCAAAGAGTTTTGAATTGGCATCAGATCTTTCTACACCCCAAGAAAATAAAAAGAAATAAACGTTATCAGTCAGATTTTCTTATTGACCACGTGACCAAGCAGAGAACCATCCCATATAAGATCAGTTCCTTTCTTGTCTCTTAGGCCATTTTACTTCTTTCAGTTCTCTAAAAATCTTCAAAAGAGAAAAGAAGAAAATTTCTAAAAATAACGCTGAGACTTGATGTGAGCAGGAGCATCGTCCTCTCCTGTTCAATTATATTAAAATTCCACAGATGTGCACTGAAAAGGGGTTGTTTTGCCTTTAGCAAGATAAAGGAGCAGTTTGAAACAAAGCCCAAGCAGGTAATTACTACACACTGTGATTGAAAGGATTCTTCTGCCTCCTGACACAATGGTGGAGTTTTTTTTTTAAATCATTTGAGATCCATTTCTTTGGAGAAGCTCTGGATAGGCTATAGACAGTCTCCTGTATGATGCAGAGAGCCCTGATTATAGCCATGAGCTTGTGCTGTCTGAATTGCTATGTGATGTAACTTGTATTTGAAGTTTTGACTGAAAAAAAAGGAAACTATTTGAATTAGGTACAGGGCAGGGTCTGGGTCATTGATTTGGACAGAGAATTTTAATAGAAATAGTTTAAAGGTTGCTCCAAATAACATTCCTTCCTATTTTACACTTCTAATAAAATACAAAAAGAACAGGAAGATCTGGTCAGCAAAGAATACATCTCAGTGTTGCTGAACCACTTTTTTTGGTAGGCAATGTGCTATTACTTTAGCTAATCTATTTGTTTTGTCCTGGCCTCTTGGAACCCTTCTCTACTTTCTTTCCCATTAAAACCTGTATTTTCCATTCATCCAGTCATAAATTTATCTATAGTTGTTTTTTTTTTTGTTTTTGTTGTTTATGAGCTTGTCTTGAGCAAGGAACAAGACAGTTGTAATCACAGAGCTTATTAGTCTAAGTTTCTAGCTTAGATTCTGACAATAAGAGTTTGCACTGAGGTGAAACCACCTGCTCAAACACCAAACATAAGAGAGAATGGAGCATGTTTAGATCATCACCTGCAGGGGAAGAGGTTCTTTGCTTCAAAGTTAAACCCAAAGGGTGAATATGAACTAAGTTATAAAAAAGGTTGAGTATGGGATGTTGCTTGGAAAATGAAATTGCCTGTTTTAAGTCCAATCCCAGAAGAACATAACATTTGCTGGAAAATGAAAGGTAAAATTACTTTATAGCTAGAGCAAAGAGTCGAGAACTCCAGCATGGAAAAGGAGCGATGTTTCAGGAAATTGACTTGTACCATAGGAAAATTAGGATTCATGAACTGATATTAAGTAGAGAACCAGAATTTTCTTTTAGAGAAAACTTGCTGTATGGCATGGGGCCCAGGTGCATTGCATATGTAATGTCATGGGTTCCGGACCCAACATGCCACCCCATGCTCCCACTCTACAGCATAGTTAGGAGGAGCCCTGGTGCCACCTTGCTCATATTTCTACAGTGTGTAGCCCCCAATAACTTAATAAAAAGTTTTATGGTATAAAGAACACATTGTTATTTGCTTTGCAGTTGAGGTAACATAGAATTCCAGCCAAGAATTGGGTGACTTACTTGAGGCAAGAAGTGATATGAACTTCAATTGGAGTAAATAATGACAGTGGGGAGAGGAGAGAAAGGATGGATTCAACAAATTTTATCAGATAGAAGAAAGAATCATGATTGCAATACATAATGATGAAGAATGTGATAGAAGGCATATGCAGAATTATGACAAATAAGGCAAAGATGAGTGTCCGGCTGCCAAAATTTTAAAAAATGCAGAGAAAGGGCAGAAACAAGTTGTGGGGGTTAGGTGAGAAGGCATCTAGCAAGTCCATGTTTGGCTCTGTTGTAAAGTTTTGTTGGATGTAGGGCATCTAATGGGAACATAAAATTAGGGTGATATGTATGCAAGTGTTGATATCAAGGGAAAAATAGAGATTGTTTGAACATGTTCAAACAATCAAGTTCAAGTTTGAACATGTGTAATGTAACTTAAACTAAGTTTAAGGGTGGAATGAGAAGAAGTCTCTGAAAAAAAAACTGCAGAGGATTTGTGATGCATGTGGAAAGCCTGGGTGTGCTCATTCCTTGCTACCTTGTAACAAGACTTGAAGCTTCTTTTGCTATGGTCCAGAGGCCTTATAGCCTTGGTCTTACTTGAGTAATACTGTATTTCATATTGGCTTCTTTAAAGACTGATGCCATTTCTCTGACCTTTTGAAAATAGATAATTTTGCAAGTAAGATCCAACTGTATATTTCTTATATACATTCAGATGTTCTTTAAGAACTGGACTGTTTAAAAACAACTTGAGCATTGTGAGGGTATTTGGATTGTATTTGAAAACCATGTCTCGGCATTCTGTAATAAGTGAAAAGCTTAATACAATATATAGCTTCAGGAATTCTGGATAAATTGCCTGACCCATTCCTTGCATAATAACTCTTTGAAAGGTGAACAGATCCTTGAAGGGAGAATCTGCAATCTGTTCAGCGTGCTATTTATACTTGAAAAGTGTTAAATTATCCTAATCACACTTATAGTAACAATCAAGATTAATTGCAGCTATATTAGGATTACTTATTATTTGTTCTACTTCAGCGGTAACACAAATCCAATTGTACGTGCAATTTTCATAATCCAAATTGTGAAAGATAGTATGGTGGGGGGGAGAACATGCAATAGTGATCACAATATTATTTAAAATAAATCCTTACCCAGATGGTTATCTGCAGTTCTCTTTTTGAAAAGAAGCTGTATCTGAACAGATTGTATATGTGTCTCCCTAGTGGAAGTGGATTATCTATCTTGAATTGGATTGTGATGACGATGACCCTATTCTAAGTAAACCAAATCTCTTCAACTATATAATGAGATCAGGAGGAACAGTTCACCGGAGAATGACAGACTGCAAGGACTGAGATCAGTTCACTAATATATTTTTTTCCAACCTCTTTCCTCAATGCACAGGATCCTTTGGCTTTGTTGCGCAGCAATTCCTCATCCTATTCTGTGTGCTAATTCTCACTTTATTTTCATTTTGATCCTTCGAGCTGAATGAGTGGCAGGAAGCTACGGAATCTGTCGTATAAAAAGGTGATGGCGGAAGAGTCTAGAGTCTTCACTTTCTTTGTAGCCGGAATGCAGACGATATGGACATGAGTAAACAGTTCACTGATTCATTCTTATTTCTTCTTTTCTTTAGGCCGTGAAAAGGCAAAAGTTGCTTGAACAGAGAATCCAGACTGCACAGGAGATTGAAAAATCCTTACACTTAATTCAGGAGTCCCTCTCATCCATTGACAAGCAGTTGGCAGCTTATATTGCCGACAAAGTGGATGCAGCTCAAATGCCTCAGGAAGCCCAGGCAAGTCAAACTGGAAATGAGCTTCAGTTCTTTCTGAACAAGACATTGCTGAATTTCTAACTTAAAATCTATTCAGCTAGTTGTGCAGAGGGTTATTTTATTGACTGATTCGATTACTTGGAGGTAAGGAGCAAACAGCTCTAGATTAGTAGTTTTAGATTTACTTTTGAAAGTTAGTAATGGGAGAACTTGAAATAGAGACACCTTAAAGGCAAGGCCTCTGTCACACTATGTTTGCAAACAGCACAAAGCCATAGAAGAGCCAGAGGAATGTCAGTTCGAAAGAGACTATTTCTTACCAGATTTTTGTTATTTTGGGAGATGCGGTGCACAGGACTTTCTCCTCGCTCTATCCTCAGGGATTGCTCCTGGCATTCTTCAAGGGACCATGTGGGGGGGCCTGGGAATGCAAAACCCTGGTCAGCTGCCTACAAAGCAAGTGAACTAACCACTCTACAGTCTCTCGGGCCCACAGTTCTTAATATTGTTATGAATAATGTAGTCTTCAGAGGAGCAGCTTATATTTATTATCCTAGAATCACTAATTACTACATACTCATTATATTTTTCTAACAATTCATGTGCTCCAAGTTAATAACAAATTAGATATATTAATTTTCTCACTGATTTATGATCGTGCTGTTTGGACCCCTGTATTCACACGTGCAGGCAGCCACACTTTATTTAGTTAAAATTATGAAATATGTTAAACTAGTTATTTTAGAAAGTTGAAATGATAATTAAAATAGGTCTCCAGTTTGTTTTAGAAAGTGGAAATGGTAATGAAAGTAGATTCGGATTGACTGTATGCAGAGTTAATTGAAGCTTATGCCCACATTAGCTTCCGCATCAGGAAATATTTTTAAAATGCTGTTTCTCTCTTTAACTAACATTAAAATATATGTAGGTGTATCTTATGAAAATGATAACTAAGGATAGCTAAGGACAATATTTTATGATATAAGGAACATTAGCTGGTTATATACCCATTTCAATGATTGTGTACCAATCGATGGATGGGTCCTCTTTCAAGTTATTTTGGGGTTTAAATGTTGAATTTAGGACCAAGGGATAGGACAGCTGAGAGGATGCTTGTATTACATGCACTGACACTAGTTCAATCCCTGGCACTCCATATTTTGCCTGGAGCAATTTCAGAAATGATCCCTAAGCACTGAATCAGAATTAAACCTGGAGTATCATTGAGTATGGTCTCCCAAAGAAGACAGCGTTGGATCGATAGCTCACAGTTATGGTGCAGTTATCTTGCAGTAAGACACAGGTCAGTTGGTGAAGTTAGAGCATCAGTGTGCACATAGCACAGGTCATGTGATCATACTGTCTACATCTGAGTAATAGGTCTAAGAAGTGTAGATTCAAGGCAGAGTTGATAAAGCCCAGAGCAGGCTGTTTGCTCTGGGATGCGGGGCATTATCTCCTGAATATAAAGCAGAATTGGTCAGGGAAGGAAAATTTGCACAGGATCCTGATTATCAAATCCTTAGTAGAATATTTTTAATGGTACAGTAGTTCTAAAATACTTTATAAGTGGACATGCATTTCACACCCCTAATAGATGCTTTTTTTCCAAACTTAGTTTTCTGCTCAGATACTCTGACATGGAATTTGAGTCATATCAAAAGTTTATAGGAAAATGTTAGAAAAATGCATTATGGAAATGGGAAATTGTTACTGAAATGCGCGGTTATGAGCTCAAGGCAGAGTAGTACTGCATCTATTGTAATATTACAGTGGTATGAATATGGTATAATGTTTGATGAAAGACTGCTCATAACTTTCTGAATTGAATGAAAGGAAATTTGGAATAGTGTAACTATTAAATATTGAAGTTAGAAGTATGTACTTGAAAATATGAGTTAAGTTTTGAGGCATGTAGAATAAAAGCATATTTGATAAAGGGAAAAATTAGTATTGCCTTAGAAAAATGAGAGCTTTTATGAGAAAAAAATCTCATTGACAAAGTTAGAGTATGGAATCTGCAGTGTTTTATTTAAATATGAATGTGGGTTTTATAGACATGAATATCATACGCTAGATTTCAATGACATAATACTATGTTTTTAAATCAAATTAAAAATATTATAGTAAAATATGAATTACACCAAATGTTTGCAAATGACCTCACGCAAGCAAATTAATGAATTTCAAATCTACTTGAAAAATGGGATTTAAGTGCACTACCATGCTCAAATCCTTTCTCGTGCATTGCTGGTTGCACCTGTGTTTCAAGGCAATTATTGACTTAATTCCCCAAATGGTAATAGCACAATATTGAAATAGAAGGACTCCCCAAACCCACCAATATATTCTTCTTCAAAATTTTAGAATGACAATCAAATGAGTTGTTTTTCAAAATACATTTAACAAATACTCAGAGGATTGTATTTTCTAAGTCAATCTGAAACTACTTTGAAAAATATGAGTAAAGAGCTAAGATGTTTCTTGTGAAGAAAAACCATTAGGTCAGCGTGTAAGAAATTGGTGTCACTTATAATGCTAACAAACTGACCCTCTTCTAGAGTCTTTGTGATTAGAAGATTTATTCAGTACTTTGTATTAATAAGAACAATAAAACAGTAAGTCCTTCACACTTGCAGAACTGTTCATTGTTATTGAAAAGATTAGTAGGCTTAGTTTTCTTTTCTCAGAACTGAATAGGATAAGATGAATGGAGTGACAGTATTTGGTCATCTAAAATAGGTGCTCAGATTTTTTGCCACATCCTGGTTATAGAGATTTGTGGATATCTGACTCCACCGTGTGGTATACTGGAAGTTTTGCTACTAAATTTTAGCTTGTGAATAGAGTCTATTTTTGTTCTGGATTTTAAGGTTGTTTTCCATTCTTGAACACGAAAGATTCTCCATCTTAATCAAATATATGTAATGTATATAAATTTATGGCAGGAGTATTTTTCTTATACATAAAATTATACATATATATTTGCGTTTATAACAGTGATAAAATGAATTTTCACTCTTTCTGCATATAAATTAATAAGTTATGTGCTATAATTCCAGAAATACAGCCTCTCATTTGACATAGGATTATAGTTTACTTTTTAATGCTATGCCTTGAAGTTTTAAATGAAAAGCTTATCCTTTTAGACTGTAAGACTACATATATCATCAGAGCATATGTTATCATGATCTTGGAGATTTTAGGACTGGAGAGATAGTACAGAATGTTGGGCACAGCCGACCTAGAATCTGTTTCTGGTACCCCATATGGTCCTCCAGGAGGAAGCTTACTTCAGATCCAGGAGTAAGCCATGATTATTGCTGAGTGTACCCCAAAGATGTGTGTGTGTATATTTTATATATATATATGTGTGTTTGTGCACACCTACATATATGCATATATATACACACATGCAGACACGCGTGTGTGCATAGTACTTGCAATATTGTCAGTTGTGCATAGTATTTGCAATATTGTCAGAATACTAATAAGTATTTCGTTTCAAAAAAATTGCCAGATTAAAGTCTTATATAATATGACCAAAATATTAACTGTCTTATGATAGGTCATTGAAAATTCTATTTAGCCAAATACAAAATTAAGATAACATATTAGTGATTCAAATATAAAACGAGTAGGTAAAACTTTTTTAGATCCCAATGATGGTTGGAACGGATCACTCTGAATAGGAGATGTGTGCTGAAAATGGGTAGAGGACAAAACAGGATGGCCTCTAATAATCTGTATTGCGAACCATAATGCCCAAAATAGAAGGGAGGGAGGGAGAGTGGGAAAGGGGGAGAAAGAGATGAGAGAGAGAGAGAGAGAGAGACAGAGAGAGAGACAGAGAGAGAAAGAGAGAGCGTGACTGCCTTAGAGCCAGGCTGGGGGTGGTTACAGGAGGGATATGAGGGATATTGTTAGTAGAAATATAGACTGGTGGAGGGATGGATTTTGGAAAATTGTATGACTAAAGCTCAATCACAAAAGCTTTGTAACTGTATCTCACAGTAATTCAATAAAAAATAACTTTAAATAAACAAACACAAAACACACAGAATTAATATCCATATATGAGCAAAAACATATGAAAAGCAAACAAAATAGGGAAATATTTGTTTTATGTGGAAGTAGAACTTAAGAACTATTTCAAAAAGGATCTGATAAATCTTTAAAATTTGGTAGTTGTTAAGAAACAAAGGCATGCGTATCCATGTTGATGTTGGCATTTTCCCAAAGAATGTAATGAAGCTCAGTGATTTGGTTTCCTCCCCTGACTCTGGTCACGAAGTCCCAAGTCCCTAAAATGCACTCCCAACCAATCTTGTCAGAAACTGTGGGTAAACTCCATCAATGGAATAGTTTTTAATCCCACCCTGGATATTCTAGAATGCAGTCACAATGGGGAACAGCTTGGCAGAGTTTAGTACTAGCAAAGGCTCAGTACCCAGTTCCATTCTTTTTTTTATTTCACCTCACCTCTGTGAAAGATTCTCACTGAAGTGTTTTGAAGGCAGGGAATGCCAAGATCACCCTAGGCTCCAGACTATAGAAAGGGAAGGAAAGAGGGAGAGAAGTGGCAGATGAAAAGCAAGAGGGGCCAGGCTAGGGATTAAGGTACAGAGGTGGTGTTAAGGAATGGTAGAGCCAAATGTCCAAACCACGAAGTCACCAACACTGAAATCAAGAGACAAACTTTAACAACCCAACTCAGAAAAGTGCCTATCAAGAGGGCATGCTGGCATAGGTGCATAGGGGTGGGAACTTGGGAACCTGGGTGGAGGGAAGTTGACGCTGGTGATGGGTTCAGTGCTGCAGTATTGCATGTCTAAAACTCAACTATGAATAACTTTGGAAATCATTGTGCTTTAGTAAAAAGAGAAATGAAAAAAAATTCAATGAGAAGGGTTCATGGGGGAAGCCAAGCTGTTGGTCACTTCCCATCCTATTTTGGCAATGCAATTGTTATAGGAAATTAGATAAAGGTAGAAAACCTAGCTAAGAAACCATCCCCTATT